CGCACTGTAAGCTATGTTTAGCAAGTGCGAATTCTGGCTCAATCGAGTAGCATTTCTTGGACATGTGATCTCTGGGGAAGGAATCTCAGTAGACCCAGCAAAGATTGAGGCTGTGATGAAGTGGCCGAGACCAACGATGGTAATAGAAGTTCGGAGCTTTTTGGGCTTGGCTGGATATTATCGTCGTTTCGTGGAAGGATTTTCGGCGATAGCAACACCGTTGACACATTTGTTGAAAAAGGAAACGAGATTTGAGTGGACTGATAAATGTGAAAGGAGTTTTCAGGAATTAAAGTATAGATTGACAACGGCACCGGTGTTGACTATTCCATCAGGACCCGGAGGATATGAAATTTATAGTGATGCGTTGTTGAAGGGATTGGGGTGTGTACTCATGCAAAATGGGCAAGTAGTGGCCTACGCGTCAAGGCAGTTGAGACCGCATGAGTTGAATTACCCGACGCATGACTTGGAATTAGCCGCAATAGTATTCGCCCTGAAGATTTGGCGACATTATTTATGCGGAGAGAAATTTCAGATCTATACAGATCATCAGAGCTTGAAGTATTTGTTTTCTCAAAAAGAGTTGAATATGAGGCAGCGTCGGTGGATGGAGTTGTTGAACGATTATGATTGTGATATATTATATCATCCCGGAAAGGCTAACCGGGTAGCCGATGCGTTGAGTCGGAAGTCGAGCATCGCCCATTTGATGGTCAAGGAGTGGACATTGTTAGAAAAAGTGCGAGACTCGGAGTTTAGATTCGAAGTAAGTCAAGTCTCGAGCTTGCTGGCTATGCTTAGGATTGAACCAGAGATCCAAGCTAAGATTAAGATGTTGTAGTCTACGGATCAAGAAATCCAAAGAATTTTAGAGGTGGAGGAGACCAAGAGAAAGCCGGACTTCCAGATATCCGAAGATGGGGTATTGAAGTTCCGTGGACATTTGTGTGTGCCTGACGATGTGGAGCTGAGGGAAGAAGTTTTATTGGAAGCGCATCGTAGTAGTTATAGCATCCACCCAGGTAGTACTAAAATGTATCAGAATTTGAAGCAATATTATTGGTGGAATGGTATGAAGGCAGACATAGCCGGACATGTGGCCAAATGTCTGACGTGCCAGCAAGTGAAGGCACAATATTGTAAGTCTGGAGGATTATTGCGACCTTTGAAAATCCCAGAATGGAAATGGGAACATGTAACTATGGATTTTGTGTCGGGATTACCAAGGAGCCAAAAAGGTCATGACACTATTTGGGTGATTGTCGACAAATTGATCAAGTCGGCACACTTTTTGGCTGTGCGAAAGGATTTCGCATTAGATCGATATGCTGACCTGTATGTGCAGCAGATAGTACGTTTGCATGGGGTGCCAGTGACAATTACCTCAGATCGTGATCTTAGGTTTATCGCTAGTTTTTGGAAAGGTCTGCAGACGGCATTAGGATCCAAGCTGCAATTCAATATAGCTTACCATCCTCAAACAGATGGCCAGTCTGAAAGGACGATTCAGACTTTAGAGAATATGCTTCGGGCATGTGTGTTGGATTTTCAGGGTAAATGGGAAGAGCAATTGCCCTTAGTAGAGTTTGCTTATAATAACAGTTTTCAGCAGAGTATTGGAATGGCGCCCTTTGAAGCGCTATATGGCAGGGCTTGTAGAACGCCCGTGTGTTGGGACGAAGTAGGAGAAAGAAGTATAACCGGGCCAGAGCTAGTCGAACAATCGATTGAGGCAGTTAAGGTTATTCGCGAAAAGCTGAAAACAGCGCAAAGCCGTCAAAAGAATTATGCAGACAGAAGGCGAAGGCCTTTGGAGTTTCAAGTAGGGGATCACGTATTTCTTAAAGTATCGCCCATGAGAGGACTATCTAGGTTCGGTAAGAAAGGTAAGTTGAGTCCGAGGTACGTGGGACCTTTTGAGGTTTTAGAAAGGATCGGGGATTTAGCGTATCGTCTTGCTCTTCCACCGAATTTGTCGCAAATGCATAATATGTTCCACGTATCGATGTTGAGGAAATATGAACCGGACCCAACTCATGTGTTGAATTATGAGGAAATAGAAGTCGATGACAAGGTGTTCTATGTCGAGAGACCAATAAGGATTGAAGATCGGAAAGAACGGGTTCTAAGGAACAAGACGATCCCGATGGTCAAGGTTATTTGGGAACACCACGGGACTGAAGGCGCGACTTGGGAAAGTGAAGAGATGATGCAACATCAATACCCCCAGTTGTTTGAGTAATAGTAGGATTTGTAAATTTCGAGGACGAAATTTTTGTAAGGGGGGAAGAGTTGTGACATTCTGAAATTGTCCATTTGGGATTTATGAAATGTTTGGTTTTATGAACGTACTCGTAGTTAGTTCTCGTCCGAAACTGATCATTCCTGGGATACTAACCATTAGGGAAATGATAATTAGGAATTAAATTCGTGCGACTAAGAGAAAATTCGATTGTGAATTGATTTTCGACCATAAAATCGCCGAGGTGACATTTTGAGCCACTGTTGGCCGATCCAAGGATAGCCAGGGGTCAGTTCGCTACTGTCATAGTAGTGGATTGCGAGTGATTCCGCGGGACCACGAAATGAATTGACGGATGATCCTGAACCTATACCAAACGATCGTGCCCCTTGGATCTAGCGGTCGATCCTCGCAATTTAAATGACAATCGAAATCGTCACGAATCGAATGGACTTGTACGTGACTAGATTTATTATCAGTCACGGGTTGAATATGCGAATTTCTTTAAAAAGCCGGCCGTTAGTTTGAGAAACGCTTGAGTTACGTTTAATAAAATTTAATTATTTATTTGAGCCCAAACTAGACATCGAAAAATTAGGAAGTCACAACGGGACATTAGGACGACGTTGTGGTTGGAACGTACAGTTTTGGATTTGCCCGAATCCTTCAGAAAAATTCAATTTTGGCGAGAAATGAGAAAAGTGACCGTTTTACCCCTAGGAATTTGTTAAGGGCAAGTTTTATGAGGGAAGGGCATTTTGGTTATTTTGCCATAACTTTTTGATTGGACATTTTTGCCCTTGGAATTTTATGAAATTTCGAAATTGCCCTTGGATATTTTTGGGAAAGATTCGATCTCGGCCGTCGGTTTCAAGATAAGATCGAATTCGAGCTGTCGATTTGGATTGTGAGAGAGGGGCATGATCGTCATTTTGGCCTTTAAATTATTGGTTTGACCATTAAAAGACCAAGACCATTCTCTCTCTCCTCATTCTCCCCCTCTCTCCTTCGGCTCCCTCCCCTCCCTTCACTGCCGACCGTCCCCTCCCCTCGTCGAGCAGCCGATCGCCGTCCACCGCCCGCCGTGCCGCGCCGCGCCACCGCCGAGCCACCAGCCCATCACGCCGCCGTCCCTTTTCTCTTTCTCCCTTCCGCTCGTGTGGCCGTGAACAGCGGCCAGGAAGCCGCCGCTGCCGCACGCCGTCCACGCCGCCAAGCCGCACTGTCGATCGCCACCGTCCCCGCCGATCGCCGCCGCTTTCCGCTCTAGCCGCGTTAGTCTAGAGTTTCGGTAAGTCGCGTCCTAAACCTTATTTAGGACGTAGGGTATCGACGGACAATTTGAGGTGTGATCGGGTTTAATTAGGCGCGAATTTGTATGATTTAAGAAGCGGAATTGAATAGCGGGCCTTAGAGATGAATTCGGAAAATTTTGGTGGAAATTTTGAGGTCAAAAGTGGGCTGTGAGTGGCTGAATTGAGTGCTGTGGTGTTGTGTTCGGTACGTAAATTGGATATTTGGATTCGGCGACTAAGTGTGAGAAAATGTCGTGAAGGGCTGGAATTGATTCGCCGAAGTTTGGAGGTGGAAAAATGAGAAATTGTATGTCGATTGTGTGTTTGTGATGTGGCTGAATTGTGGTGATGAAATTGGGTGCATTTGTGTGCAATTGATTGATTGGAAATATGCTTGACTATGTGCACGCTCGGGCCAAATTGAATTAATTGTCAATTGGCCATATTGGATGCTTATTGAGCATGAAATTGTCTGTGAATTGATGCGTGCACGGGCCACGTGTGATTGGCCAATTAATTGACAAGTGAGTGTTGAGCACGTGAATGAGTAAGAGATTGTATGTGGGGTGGCATATGTGATTGTGGAAATCCCTGAAGCGGTACCATTACGCGGGGAATTGTGCCGTCCTGAGGCATGTACTTTAACGCGGGACGATGCCCGGTATTACTGGAAGACTGCCAACCTGAGGCGTGTACTTCAACACGGGTTGTGCCGTAGGTGGTAGGTGTTGAGCCTGAGGCATGTACCGTAACGCGGGCAAGAGACATGGCCTGAGGCGTGTACTGTAACGCGGGCCCTGGAGTGTTGTGATGAGTTGGTTGCAGTGGACCTGAGGCGTGTACTGTAACGCGGGTCACTGGCGAGAGTTGTGGAAAGATGTGATGAGATTGGAACAAATGCACGAAATATAATTATAACATGCATGTGAGTGAAATCGTGCCGTTATGCCTAACGTGCAGGTTGCACGCTGGAAAGGCCTAGGTAAGTAGAATTGTGTGCTTGCGATGCTATGGTTGAATGTGATTGTGTGTTGTGATTGTCTGGAGGTACGTGATAGCCTAGGTGGGGTTTAGGGGTGTACTTATTGAGATGTAATCTCATGGTTGTTTCAACCAATATTTTCAGAACCCCGACCTGAGCCATGAATCGGCCGCCGCCGCCCCCTGAGCGTTTTGGAGTTCCGATGCACATTGAGCATAATGTAGTAGAGTTTCCTATAGATGACCAGATGACCTGGATTAAGCATACAACCGTAGTGTTTGTAGATGTAGGACTACCCCTATGTGAGGCCCATACATATACCGCCTGGTTCTTTAGGGACGGGATAGACGAGTTTGGATCCGTCCGCGGTTTTGACGTCCCCTTTGATGGAGTTGGGGACTGGGACCCGTCTGCTATACTTCCTCCTGATGGCGAGCTGACTAGTGTAGAGACTAGTCTGGTGCAGTCTGGATTGCAGCCAGCGCCTGCATTACCGGGGTCTTCAGGGGCTGAGCACGAACCGGAGCCGGAAGAGTCTCTAACGGGAGATGATCCCATGGACGTGGATCTCGAGCCGATTCCAGAAGAAGAACCAAAAGAGGAGGAACCCGAGGCGGAACCTGAGAATGAACCTACTGAGCTTGAAGAATAACCGGTGTACATTCCCCCGTATGAGCAGTGGATTGACCCTGAGTTTGTACCGGAGTACAAGTCTGATGAGGAGTCCGATTCGGAGGAGAAGGATGAGGCCCCAGCGGAGTCGGGTGACATAAACCACCCAATCGAGATTGAGGCCGAGCCGGAGTCCTCGGAGGAGCAGACTGTCCAGGGAGACTCAGATTAAGATGGCGAGGAGTCAGACTCAGAGTGGACACCTAGCAGAGGGTGTAGGGGCTAGCGTAGGGGCTAGCGTAGGGGCTGGAATTAGACTTTTTGGAGGTGTACCATTTTTTAGGATAGGACATCCAGGTCATCGGTCCTTTTTGATATCGGTGGTTGTAATACGGTGTGCATATGTATGTTGGTGGTTCGTAGTTTGGTGTGTTTGTATAAGTGGTGGTTTTGTAAATTGTGAATATTGTATAAGTTGATATAATGAGAAATGAATGCTTGCATTCTCCCTGTTCTCCCCAGTTTTAAATTGTCCAGGTATTTGTGGTTTCCGCTGATTGTTTAAAATCTCTGTTAATTATAAGTAAGGTCGGCGATACCCTGGGATGTTGCATTAATCGACCAAGAAAGGTGTTATGCGCTCGATGGGGTTCGGGGCGTGACAGTATACAATGTTCAGTACCCAAATTTTCAACACTTATTTTTCAGTTGGATCAAACCAGCCCTTATCTTTGTGACATTTATCAATTAGGTTATGAGCGTGCTCAAAGTCCACCGGGTTTAATAATAAACCACATCATCTATCTCCCTCGAGTCTGTGAGTCTTGGCGGGGCAATCTCCAATTAAATTGTGCTCGGACAGCAGCTAAGATCTGTACCATCCACTGTATCGAATCTCCAATTCAATTGAGATTATACAAGTGTATATCCTTGCGACTGCTAAGACTTCACTTGAATAAGGCGAGCTTTATCGTCATAGAATTTGCGAATGATCTTTCTTGTTCGGGGCCAATTACGCGAAGCAGAACCAAATTGGGCTACCGAACGACATCGTTTCGCTTAAAACGACTTCGCAGCTGTTCTTGGTTTTGATGCTTTCGGCCTTCTTAACGAACTTCGCATCGCATGAAACGTTGTGCGCGGGGACGCTCGCCGCCGACCAACATGCCGTGGGGAACGTGAAGGCAACTTCTCACTGCGAGCCGCCACGTGTCATCCGAATGACGACAGCCGCGACCCTCCTGCGCTATTCTTAGTCTGGTCGTGTAAAATCACCAGAAGGGAGAAAGTAAAACGTTAGAAGTTCGTCTTTGTCCAGTGTCTTGTGGAGATGTCGAGTCCCACAAGGAGTCGCTGTCGTTATGGAAAAGAAGAAATGGAAAAGAAGAAGAACCCGGAAAACTAGGCTGCGAATGATAACCATTATGTTTATCTATTTCTGTTCAAGAAATAGGTTTGGAACATAAATCCGTTTGGTAATGCAATTTTAATTTGTATTTCTGGAACAAATTTTTGTTCTAGAAATAGATTTGAAATAGAAATCAGAAGTTAAAATTTTTTACTTCTCTATTTCTGAAACAGAAATAGAAACAATTTCTATCTCTTCAGCCTTAAAAGACGTCCACCAAAGACAAAGACCGGCTTTGAACGAAATCTCCACTTCTTCAACAGAGAGACCACAAAAACCCTAAGTCGTCCTCCTCACCGCGACGCCGTCCTCCTCACCGCCGTCGACATAGTCCTCCTCGCCGTTGACGCCGTCTTCCTCGCCATCGCAGGAGTGCAGGGAGGAGGAGGAGGAGGGCCGGGAAGAGACAAAGACGGAGCTCCCCCTTGGGACCTCAAGCGCGCTGGTTTCCTCGCCGCTGCTCTTGCTTCGCCTCTCGTTGCCGCTGTTGCTCCGCCTCTCGTCGCCGCGCTTGTTGCCGCCGTTGCTCTTCCTCTTGTCGCCGCGCTCGTTGCTGCCGTCGCTCCGCCTCTTGTCGCCTTGTCTACTCTCTGTCTCGCTCTAGGTGCGCCACTTTCCTCGTTCCTCGACTCTGTCGTAGCGCCGTTGCCTTTGCGCTCTCTATGTGCGGAATGGTACGGTCTTGTCGAATGTGTTTGAGTGTCGTGTGGAATTTGTCGGAGCGGATGGCTGTGTTATGATGCTATATGTTAGATTACTTTAGTTGGCTCGTGACCGTGGAAGTGTGCCGGAGACATGCTTCGGATTCGTGTTTTCTTTTTGATGAACTCGAAAGCTGAGAAGAAAATGAAGAAGGATGATTCGTTGGATAGGTTGATTCACATCTCCTACCACCGACCCGGTTCTGCGTTGATGTTGTTGTTGTTAGAGAATGAGCAATTTGCTTAGCTTTGCATGATTACATTCATTGCAAGGCTAATTTCCGCTTCAAGAGAAGAGAATTGCGCCTGTTCATTCGATAGTTGAGTATATGACCAGTTCACTGTTATGTGTCGTTCATTGTGCATTGTTGAATTTGAATTTGTTGTGCTGTGTTTGAATGCCTCTGTTTCACATAATTTCTAGTGTTTCCAATAAGTCAATCTTTTTTCATATGCTGTGGAATGTGAATTGCTTGCTTGTCTTGGATTGGTCGATGATTGCGGGTTTTTCAAAAGGATTGATCCTAAGTCCTCATTACATGACAGAGAAGTGATTTTTAGATTGATCAATGAAAAGAAATCATTGGAAAGTATGGAAGTCAGTTGAAAGTATCTGAGGAGAAGTGATTTTTGGATTGATCAATAACCTCTCTTGCTAGTTTGGATTGGGTATGGTGGTGATGGTTGTCTATCTCTTTTGCTTCTGGATAGCATAAGTGATACACTTAGATTGGCGAACTTGGAATGGGCTGAAATTTGGTTGGCTGTGTGGAAACGGGCCGCTGATCAATACACTCGGCTTTGCCGTGATCGACGTCGTTTTTTTGCGTTTCAGAGTCGTTTTGATGGGTTTTCAGGCTTTTGGGTTTAAGGTTTCATTTTAAGCAGAATTTGGATTTTTTATTTTTTTTTAATAATCACACCTAAGAGGACGAATTGTTCCTCTATCAAATATTCCTGTTTAGTCAATTTTCTATTGCGATTCGGCATGTATAAGTAGGGGTAGATGCTAGGCAAGACCAATGTTATGATGCAAAAAAAGTGAAACTGTATTCAACTGTGTTAGCAAATCCAAGCTCAACTGTGTTTAATTGTCTGCAATGAAAGATGTCTTATTTCAAATTTGTAGTAATACTATCATGTTATTATGTCACACGATAAAGGATTTAAGTTCTTAAACTTTTCAAAACTATGGTGGATTTGCTTGGAGACGAAAAAAGAAAAGAACAGAACAACCATGCATCTACAAATAGAACAACAATCACCAATTATATGCTTCAAACGAGGTCTAAAAACCTCTTTTCTTGGAGAACTCGGATGATTACATTAAAAAAAAACCTACTGGACAAGTTGGCATGTGATTCAGAAAACAGTAAAGAAAAGGAAATTTCAACCTACTTAAATGATTACAACAGAAAAAATCCAACTAGACATTAGCTACGAAGTTGAATTGGTAGGAGGATGTTCTCTTTCAATTTGACTGGTGTGATATATGTTTGCTTGATTTGATAGGAGGATGTTCTCTTTCAATTTCTTCGTGTATTTTGGTTTATTAACAGTCATTACATATTATTGTGATCTTGATATCAAAGCTTCTGCACTTGAATTAGTACATTATCTAATGTGGCTCATATGATGCTCAACCAGTTAAGGTTAAATGGCATCCAACAAAGATGTTGTTATGGCAAAATGGACCGAGTCTTTGATCAATATGCTTGTAAGTTTGTTGGTACAAGAGGTAAAAAAAGGAAACCGCACCACCTGTACTTTCAACAAAGTAGGGTGAAATAACATACATGCTGAATTCAATAAACAAGCAGGACTCTAATTTAGTGTAATTCAGTTGAAGAACAGGGTAAACAAACTCAAGAGACAGTATGGTAGTTTTAAGAAGCTTATTTCACAATCTGGATTTGGATGGGATAATGTAAACAAAAAGGTTACTGTAGACGATGCAAGTGTATGGGAGTCTTACATCAAGGTATTACTTTATTTGGGTCATTTTGTTTTTATTAAGGATGTAAGCTTCAATTATGTTGCTGACGTATGTCATTATTGTGAAAATTGTAGGATAATAGCGAATGGGCTAAATTCAAGAATGATGGATTTCCTTTGTATCCCCAGCTGTGTATTGTGTTTGGTAATACATATGCTACTGGGGAGTATGCAGCAGGAAATGTAGAAGACTTGTTAATGTGTGAGGGAGAAGACAATGGTGGTGGTGGTGGTGGTGGTGGCGGCGGCGGCGGCGGCGGCGGTGGTGGGGGGGGGGGGGGGTAGGTGATTCAGAGGAATTTAATGAACACCATATTAATGAGGGAGTCTTTACACCTGACATGACTGCCACCCTAGTTCGTGAGAAGCACAAGTTGGATAGGACTCCAAATTCCAAGAGGAAGAGAAAGAGCAATACATATGATGTTAATGGCACATGCAAAGCCATTCAAGATATGATCAAATTCAGGACGGGTCAATCAACAAGTGGCTTCGTCACCTCATATGCCCCACCACCTGTAGACCCCTACTCCATTGGAGTTGTGGTTGCCGTCCTAAATGGCATGCCTAACTTGGAGCAGGATCTTTACAACAAAGCTGTGAACTAGGCATGCCTTAATGCCACTTGGAGAGAAGCTTTCATCATATCTCTACCTGAAAGGAGGCGTGGACTTCTTGAATCTCTTTAAGTAGTTGTTGAGAAATATGCTATGAATTTATATTTGGCTTAATTTCATGTATGACTTATGTACTTGAGACTTTGATTTTTTTATGATGCAACTACAATGACATTGTGGCTATTGTTTGGTTTTTTCTTATGATGCAATTATGATGATATTGTGGCTATTGTTGATTGTTATTGGAATCCTTATCTGATGTGTTTATGTTTTTATTTCGTGTGATGGCATAGGTAATATGGAGGGGGGTGAAAGTAGCAATTATAATGATGAAGTAGCATCGGTCGAATCAGTTGAACAAGACTTTGATGATTTTGATCTTGATATACTGATATCCTGGTTGTGCACTTTACGGTGGATATGTCCATGCACACGAGAGAACCTATTAGAGACAGCGTATTGTCAGGACCCGAATAGGTAAGAGAGGTTTTATATGGACATTCAGATAGAGTATATGAAGCTTTTAGAATGGAGAGACATGTCCTTCTCAACCTTTGTGAATTGATGAAAGTAAAAGGTTGGTTGAAAGATAGTCGATATATTAGGGTAGATGAATAAGTTGGGATTTTCTTATCTATGATTTGTCATAAGAACTCGAATAGAGATTTATGTGAGAGATTCCAACATTCGGGACAAACTATCAGTAAGTACTTTACAATAGTGTTGAAAGCAGTTCTCAAACTGGCAAGAGAGGTTATTGTACCCCCTTCCTTTGATATCGTCATAGAGGAGATTTTTATGGATCCTAACCATAAACGTTATTTTAAGGTAGGATTCTCACACATTCCTTCCTTTACACCATCGGTTTTATTTTGTTGATAATAATGCATAATACTAGTTTTTGATAAAATGATAGGGTTGCGTAGGCGCTATTGATGGCACCCATGTTCATGCTTCTGTACCTGTGGAGAAGCAAATTCCATTTAGAGGAAGGAAAGGAATTACCACTCAGAATATGTTGTGTGTTTGTTCGTTTGATATGAAATTTACTTTTGTGTATGTTGGTTGGGAAGGCTCTGCCAACGATTGTCGGGTGCTCTCGGCAGCACTCGAGACTCCTTGCTTGGAATTTCCTTGACCACCACCAGGTACTTGCTTGTTCTTTAAGTAGTAATTTTCTTTATGATTAGATTGCGATTGCAAATCATGACCAATAAATGAATACCTTGTTATAGGCAAATACTACGTAGTAGATTCTGGTTATGTAGCAACTCCGGGATTTTTAACTCCTTTCCAAGGTGGACGGTATCATCTAAATGATTATAGGGGTAGAGCAAGACGGCCAAGAACAGTAAGAGAATTGTTCAACTATAGGCATTCTTCACTAAGGAATGTCATTGAGAGATCATTTAGAGCATTAAAGAATCGCTTTTTCATCTTAAGACATATGCCTTCATTTACAATTCGAAAGCAAGCAGGTATTGTAATTGCATGTTGTGCTATTCATCATTACATCCGTGATCAAGACAAGATGGATAAGAACTTTTCCCTATATGGATATTCGAATTATAAGTTTGAACCTACACAAGATGAGGTTACAGACGATACATCGATCGGGGAAGGAACCGAGATGAACATGCTTAGGAAAAGTATTGCCAATAAAATGGCAAGGGATCATTATATGCAGGAGATTCCATGAAATTGTATTTTCGACTTATGTAATGTATTTCCATTATGTTGCCTTTTCCTTCTTGGAATTTCCATGGTTGCAAGTCTTCTGCTACAACAATTATTCTCCATGACATTATTTTGGAGGCATCTTTAGTCTGACAAGTTGGCTCTTGTAAGGTGATATGGTATTTGAGGACTATGTTATCAAATGAATTTATGTTCTAAGAAATTGAAATTTTATGTGGTTATCAAACGAATTTCTGTTCCTGAAACAGAAATTTTGTGTCGTTATCAAATGTATTTTTTTGCTCAGGAACTCGTCCAGAAACAGAAATAGAAAAATCAATTTCTGGCCAGAAATTGATCTCTAGAACATAATGGTTATCATTCGTAGTCTTATATACTGGAGTCGTCCACTCCGCTCAGCTCTCACGGTCGTGCGGCTCCCACCAGGCTTTGAACTTTCCAAGCTGAAGATCTTTATCTTCTTCTTTGCAGAGACATTTCAGGGAAACTTTGTGGAAGTTGAACTGAAGAGAAACACTTTCTTGGGTTGACGTTGGAGAGACCCTTCACTGAGCATGCTTCCTAGAATTACCAGAGTCCCATACTTTCGAACGATTAATCACTTTTAAGTCTCAAGAACTTTAAAAATGGTATTTAAATATCTTCGGCAATTCATCTTGTTGGAGCACTTGACATTTTGGGCATCGGTTCAATGTCCCCAACATTGAGAATTTGTTCGCAAGTCCATTCCTAAGCACACTCAAACGCATGTTTGTTTGGTTCAAATTTCTTGCTACCTGCTTCTGTAGCTCAGTATGTTAAAGTTCTCATACAAAGGGAGACTTGCACCCTTCAACGATCACTCGTGATCGAACTTAATCGAGCTTCTGCAACACCGACATGGGAAATCTCGAGATCGAGCTTTACCGGCTCTTTGCTGCGCCGGACCATCTGAAAAGAGGGAAGCTTCGGATCTTTGGGAGGACCCAATTCAAACCCTAGTTTTAGCTACAATCCACATGCTCTTGATCACTCGCTCCAGTACACTCCTCTGATCCTTACATACGTGCAACGATCTGGCGTGCCGCAGGTGTGAACGGTGACGCCATGAATGGCTGCTCTGTTACGCGGCCGAATAAAGTCAAGGTACGCGAAACAGCACGAGAGTCACGGACTGTCTACTCCTCTTTCTGTTTCTGCGTGTGTTGACCTTGACCTTCAACATCACCGTATTCAATGCTTCCCCATCTCTTTCTTTTTTCCCCTTTTCTTGTTCGGTTGGACTCGGTTTGGAACATCAGACTAAGGAAACTTCAGAAGGACAAGGGTTTCGAGAGTATATAGCCATGATTGGAGCCTTCTTTCGTGGAAACCCTAGAATGGTTCCTATGTGTCTTGTTGACTGGTGGTAGATCTTGCAGCTAATGGGGCTTTGTCTATACAGTCTTAGCTTTTGTCTTGTTTGGTCTTTAGGGATGGGGTGCTGAGCCCAAGTAGAAGTGGGCCTCGCGTTAGTTTTGTATTAGTCTTGTTGGGTTTGAAGCATAGCAAGAGGAGCTTTCTTTTTGGGCTATCGATCGGAAACATGGACATGTGCGTCTATGATAATAATGAAATGTGTGAGAAGTTAGGGTTGGAGCACAGGTAGGGTTGTGCAACCGGACTGATTCTACTCGGGAACCGGACTGGATCACCTTGAAAATAAGTCCGGTTCCACAGTTCCGAGTGAAGATCTACCATGGAACCAGACCAACCTGGTCGAATTTGGAACCGGTTTCATAAAACCTAAAAACCTTAATTTTTTTCTAGATATCTTTTTCTTCAATTCTCTCTTTTTCTCTGTTGTCTCCAACTTCACTAAAACACTTCACGACTCTCTCTCTCTCTCTCTCTCTCTCTCGCGACTCATCCTCCTCCTTGTTCATTTTCGGTTTGCCCTCGCTCGTTCGAGTTTCACAGCCCTCGCTCGTTCCTGACTTGCCTTTGCTCGCTCTCCCTCGTTCATCCTTTCACTTTGAACTATTTTATTACTCATATTATTTTGCTGTAAAAAAAGAAAGTAAAAAAAGGAACAAAAGAAAAACAGGTTCTCGGGTAAACCTTGGAATTGATTTGGACAAATAGGATAGGTTCAAAGACAAACATGGTAGGTTCCAAGTTCCAATAAATAGAAACCTGTTCTAACATGGTAGGTTCTAAGTTTCAGGTCTAGAAACTACCCACCTTGGAACCATTCACTCTTAGTGCCCGGTGGAGATTAGTGGAATGCTCGGAAAGCTATGAACACTATTATAAGCCGAAAAAAAAGAGAAAGAAAAGAAAAGGATAAAATAAAAGAGCAGGTATATATAGTAAGCATGAGCATGGTTCCAAGATATGCATGGTAGATTCTAGGATCTAGAACATGGAACCTGAAATCTAGAACAAGTCTTTGTGTTTTTATTGTTCTATGTTTTCACGCAATCTTACGATATTTCATGGCGTCTGATGATGAGTGTGTAATCTGGAACCAATAGTCTGAGCTTTTATTTCCGGTGATATCAATGATTGAGACTTTTACTTTGTTAATGTTTTTATATTTTTCGTGTGTCTAAATATAAGTTGTGGTCAGTAGATTGTAGCAATAAATGATGATAATTAGAGTTGATGATTCGTTACAATCGTTTAATTATGAATATAGGTGGAACTGTGTAGACCCTGATACCCATGACATGGTAGGTTCTACGGTTTGCAGGGTAGGTTCCAGATTCCAAAAAATAGGGAACTTATTCCGACGGGTTGGTTTTATGTTTTAGATAGAACCTGTATGGAACCTGAAACAAGTTACACCTGGAACCTAGAACTTGTAAATACATACACCTAAAAAGAGTTCGTAATAACTCCATATATATTCCTCTCTCCTCTATATAGATAAGTTAAGATGTCCATGGAAGTACCCTGTGGGATAGAGAATCTATATCTCCATTCATTGTGATAAAACCGCAGAAGCTAAAATATGCATGGTCGCCATGGTCTTTGAGGAATGCTTGAAGCTGACTGTGAAGAGACAGACGTTGTCAGATCCCCCTGGGTAACCCTAATCTTACTTAAGAAAGTAAACAATCGTTAGGTATTGCTCGAACACAATGTCTGATCGATCCAAATCAGTCGTCAACTGTCAAGTATCATAAAGTTTCTTCTTTTTACTTTAATATGATAGTACTATGTGCAATATTATTGATTTAGGTGTGTGAAAATGTTTTCTTCTAAGGATCCGTTTGTTTCGCGGAAAATGAATGATTTGGAAAATATTTTCCTGAAAATGATCTATTGTATCGCTTATGAAAACGGATGAACGAAAAATATTTTTATCATTCACGAAAGCATTTAGAGATAAATTGGTATCGATAATGAAAATATTTTTCATTGAATAATTATTTTAAGCGATACAAGTGATCATTTTTAGAAAAAGATATTTTTCAAATCATTTATTTTTTGCGAAACCAACAGTCTAAAAGAGCTCTAAAAATCTCTATAAAAAGGCAATCTTAAAAATCACCATTAGATTTGGTTTGGTTGCAAACACAACAAATGTTGAATTTTAAACCATCTCTTACCTACTAAAAGGACCAAGTAGGGGAAAAGTATCAAAAAAGTCCTAAACATTTTGCATTTGTGCCAATTTAGTCCTAAACATTTTTTTTGTCTCAATTCAGTCCTAAACCTTTTGCATTAGTGCCAATTCAGTTTTAAACCTTTTTTGGTGTCAATTCAGTCCTAAACTTTTTGCATTGATACCAATTCAATCTTAAACCTTTTGCATTGATTCCAATTCAGTCCTAAACCTTTTGTCTTTGTGCCAATTCAGTCCTTCAGGCCAATTTAGGTTTAGGACTAAATTGGCACAAGAAAAAAGTTTATGACTAAATTGGCACCAATGCCAAAGGTTTATGACTTTTTTGACACTTTTCCGAACTAAGTAGATATATGTATATTCTTTTATGGGCTTTAAAGGTCAAGATACCTGAAAGTCCAAAAAATACCTTGCAAGTCTTATAAACTGATTAAGCTGAGTCTTTTGATCCGTGCAAGTAGAGTAGACACGGAATAGTTTATAACAGCTAGCGAGATTTTAAAGTATGACCTCCACTATCTTAGCTGACTACATCTACCATGAGGATGTGGACAGTATATATCGCTCT